TTCATGGAGATTTAGGCTCAGACAATTTGAAGAGAATTATTAAGATTTTTCAGGATGTGGTTGGTACATTCAAGTAGTTTTAAAAAGTATTACAATATCAAATAACCCAAAGTATTCAGATTATGTTACTCACTTTAAGTAATTTAATGGATTCTGTTACAAACTACATTTTGAGGCATATAATCTGTAATCTGTAGGGGAATACATTTTAAAAGTCACCTTCCCAACACTGGTTGTAAATGACTACACATGTACTATCTATATCCAGTGGTGGAGTCAGCAATTTGGGGGCCCTCACCTTTTTTTTTGTTTTGTAAATATATTTATTGTCTGTTTGTCCCCATTGTTCTTGAGACACGAAACATCTCTATTTACTTGAATTATGGTGGATTGTCTTATTCGTTAGGTCGTCTACTAGATAACCAGAGCTGAAAGTTTTGGGGTTTTTTGCTATTACAATTACATTTTTGTTTACATCCATTACATATGATTATTATTTTTAATGTATATTTATTTAAAAGTAAAATACTCTCATTTAATGTCATATTGAGACTATATCTAATTGCTCTGAGACCTCGGTCATTAGTGGAACTGAGGGCAGTCGGTTTGTGGCCCCTCCAGGTTTGGGGGCCCTAAGCAGCCGCCTACGTTTGCCTAATGGTAGCACCGCCTCTGTCTGTATCACACCACACTGTAACACTGACCCTGTTTGGACCTGTGGGACCTGAAGCATCTGCGCTCACGGACCTGTTTTTCACTCTGACTAAAACTCCTTTTCCTCTGCATGGAACAGGCTTCAGTCTGAACCATAAACCCTATATATGAGTGGACATAGTTAGTTAGTTTAGTAGTTATTTATATGATCTTTATTTCTCACCTAATTTACTTTTATTGTGTATTGCTCCATATTCACTTTCTTTTAAGGTATTTTAAGGAATGTTTTGATGATAACGACTTGGTATTTTGTGTAAATGTAACGTATTGTTAAAATTACATATACATAGCAATCCTGTCACTTTTTATATTGTATTTTACATTGTTATAGTTTTTAGTTTGCTATGTTCAGATAATCCTTAATCATAATGTCAATTTAAGCAATGGTTTGTAAGAATAATGACCTTGAATTTAGTCATGTTGTGTTATAATAAACATACTGGGGGGTCAGGTTACTATAGTCACAGGATTTTGACCTTTTTTTTAAAAAATATAATAGATCATTGTCAATATTCAACTAACATTACTTCTTACTTTACATCATAATAACTATTATAAACATATTGGGGGGGCAGATTGCTATAGTCATAGGCTTCCCCTATTGAACTACTCAACTGATCAGTCCTGTCTATTTGAACAAGATTCCAAATCATTAAACATCACTTTGATACCTAACTCATTAATATCTAATTTTCAGTAAAATATGTGTTTAAACAGCTAAGTAATTTTTAACATTCAAATCGTATAATCAACATAAAAAATACATCTGAGTTCTTCAAAAAACACTTTTAAATATGTCAGTATGTTTTAATTTGCAGATATAGTATTAATATTCAAAGTTTTTCTATAGAATTCAAGTTCTTTATTAATAAATTACAGATTTTCATAGGGGGTCAATATTCTATAGGGGGGTCAGCATACCATAATAGCATTTTGACGCTGGGGCAAAATCGTATACCACACCGTCGTCATTTTGGTAACCATAAGCATCACGAGCCTCATTTGAGCAACGCTGAACACTAAGGGTGACGTCACACTCGCTTAGTCCACTTCTTTTATACACTCTTTGGTCTGAACTGCAACTAAAGGAGCTGATTTGATTACACTCTTTTAAAGCCCTCCTGAAAAACTCAGCTAAAAGACATCAAATAAAAGACTGAATGAATGTGACTTTATCATGTGATGTGGTTGCTGGTTTATTTAAAATCATGTAACTTTACGCTTTAATACATGCATAATAAAGGACGCTTTGAGGCAGTCAGAGTGCCTCAGATGAAGCAGAGTTTTAGACTTTTATTTTTGTCATTTTATCACCGTAGTCAGTCTGTCACTATTTAAATCTGATTTGAGCTGTGACAGAACATTTCATTTCTCACACATTTGTTCCACTCACTGCTAAAATTCCAGCTGTTGTTATATCATCTCCATAACCTCTGCAGTCCTCCGTGCGTGTCCACTCTGTCACTGCATCCTTTTGACTGACTGACTTCTAACTGACTTCTAACACTAATCACATGTTTGTGCGGCCGTGTTCAGTGGAGCGTCTGAGCATGCCCACTCGCTCCCAGAACACTGACAGTCTCTATTACCTCCCCCACACCACCCTCCCTCACTACCACAAGACAAAGTGACATTAGCAAATTAACCAGCTGCTCCAAAACACAAGGGAGACAGAGCACCCAAGGGCCCATTCTGGCATACCCGCAAGAACTTAAAGGGGAGATCTTCTGCACATCTTAAAGGAATTGTTGCTAAATTCTTGAGCAAAACGTGATAATTTGTTTTAATTGTCAAAAATATAGTTGAAGTTGTGTTTGTTTTAATCATATGTTTTTGAGCAATCATGACCATGTATGTCTCATGGGGTCAGAATACATGGACGCACCTTATGATGTCATCTAGTGGTAATCCAGGCAGTCCATATAGCCTCATTTAAACAGCTTCATTTCTCAACACAACTGCAGGTGTTGCCACTGCGCCCCCTACTGGCCTCTGTAGTACTATTTTCTGTATGTTTTTCTTACAATAAATAAAAACATCAGATAATGATCAGTGTTGGGGAGTAACAGATTACATGTACCGGCATTACATAATACTACTGTTCAATGAGTGGTAATTGGATTACAGTTACATTTAGATTACAGTATATGGATTACACGGTGGTATTTTCCTGTTTTCACATTTTGGGCTATATCCCCCCTTTTTTTTTTTTTTTTTTTCTCTGTAATTCCACTCATTACCGGAAACTAAACCAGATCTAAACATGGACTTAAATCAGGTCTAAACCAGGTCTAAAACCAGGTCGAAACCAGGTCTAAACCAGGTCTAAACCAGGACTAAATCCAGATCTAAAACCAGGTCTAAACCAGGTCTAAACCAGGTCTAAACCAGGACTAAAACCAGGACTAAAACCAGGTCTAAAACCAGGTCTAAAACCAGGTCTTAAATCAGGTCTAAACCAGGTCTAAAATCAAGACTAAAACCCGGTCTAAACCAGGACTAAACTAGGTCTAAACCAGGTCTAAAACCAGAACTAAAACAGGATTTAACAGGACTAAACCTTGCTTTGTGGACCGTGTCTCCTCTTCCTCTATCAATAATTTTTTTATTATATGGTTAAGGAAAGTCTGGGCTTTTTATTGTCTTTTAGCAGACAAAACATCTTACGTTAAGATATCCTCATCTTTGCTTCTCTACAGCAAATCAAGTAATCCAAAGTATTCAGATTACATTACTCACCTTAAGTGACTTCATGGATTCGTTACAAACTACATTTTGGGGTATTTAATCTGTAATCTGTAGGGGAATACATTTTAAATGTAACCTTCCCAACACTGATAATGATAATGAGATATGTTGGTGAGCAGGCAGTTTTCTGGTTTTATATTTACAGTATTTGTGTGTGTGTTGTGCCCCCTGCTGGCAGAGGTGGTGAGTGACACATTTTTGCAAAATTGTAGGTTGCTGTATTGATTTATTGGCAAGAGTATTTTTTGGTATATTTTACACAATAATTTTGTGGCATTTTGCTGCTTGTTTAGAGAAAGGACATGTGTTTCACACATAGAACATTGTCACAGGCCGGTTTGTTACACATAAGAACACTCAGCATTTTCATTTTTTGTTTGTGTAGGCCTGAACTATACTTGTCCAAATCTATCCACTAGTCAAATGCATTTCCAATTAATCTGAAGGTGAACTGAGTTCACCGTGGTCCTTGGTCCAACACAGTAGGCTATAGCAGGAGGAATAGGCTACTACAGTCAGTTTACTTTATTAAACAATGAAAACAACAGTTTGATTACAGTGAAGATCATGGTTTATAACTATTATTTAACACTGGAGTTCAGATGACATGACAGATTACATTTTATAGATCAATCATATCTTTAATATTGTTAAAATGTAGATTTGTGTTGCAATGCAGCAAGTTCTAGGATCTAGTCAAAATGTGATCAGGGTCAACATTTGTGCATTTACCTTTTGTATATTTCGTGGCAAAATGCAAAAGAATGTCTTTTGCCCAACATCTAGTTCTATGACATTGTCCCATTCTGAAAATTACCAACACTGTATTTCACTGAAACAATTGTTGTTTATTCTATAACTTCCTTTAGAATTGACCATATACACTTTATTATGAAAAGTGTGGCATGGTGGCTGAGTGGTTAGCACTCATGTCTCACTGCAAGACGTTTCTGGGTTCAGTCCTGAGTTGCATGAGCCTTTCTGTGTGGAGTTTGTATGTTTCTCCCTGTGTCTGGATGGGTTTCCTCTGGGTGCTCTGGTTTCCAAGCCAAGGTCAGTGAAACACAATCAATCAATGAACCTGCCACCAGAGACTACAGGTGGAAATTAGCACTGGTGTTACAACCTGGTACAATGCATCTCTCTGGTTAAGGTTAATGTAAAAAATATGTGCTGTCCCTGCTTAAATAAATAAATAAGTAAGTAAGTAAATAAATAAATAAATAAATAAATAAAAATTATGATTTCATAAAAAGGCCAGATCAACAAAAAAAAATGAAATTTAACCCACCCCTGGGCTACTATAGGCTGGGTTTCAGATGACACAACATTCTGTAGGCCAGATCTGGGCATTGTACGGCCCTTTGGTTGACTCTGACCGGCCCGTTTAAAATATGGAATGGAATTACAAAATAAACATATTTTATCATTTTACCTCATGCATAGACTAAAGCTGCATTGCGTTTTTGTGTCCAGAAGCCACAACTTTTCAAGTTAAGGTTTAAATGGATTTTTCAGTGGTTTCACTCCAATGCTGAGGGGGCGCTAATGAACCAGTCAGCAGACACTTGCATCCGTTTAGCTGGTTCTTAGCATCGAGGCTGGTAGCAGTGGCGTCCATTCATTGAGGTATAAGTGATCAATTGTTTGTCTAAACAAACTTTATCTGTAAATTGAGAAACAGAATGAATTGCAATAGACCTGTTGTAGGTTTTGTTCATTTCACGCATGCCATCACTGTGGTTCTTACAATAGATATCCACCGGGTACAGTTAGCATCGTCGTTACCATTGTGGATTATGTGTTAGCACAGCTCCATAAATACTCAGACGAACAATATGAGGCCAGCGTTTTTATACAATTTATAAATATAACTCTCATTGTTTATCGATGTGTAGGATAAAAGGTGTGCACTCGCTACCATTTAATTATTATGATTTTTTTTAAGAAAGTCCACTGGTGATGAGGACTTGCAGGTTTGATACTCTGCTGCCAATTGTAAATCCTGGGACTTGGTGAACATAAACAACGAAAATGAGGAGGATATGGCCATATGCCAAATCATTTTAAAATCACACTTTTCTTAAAACTGAAATCATGATCTCGCACTCACATAATTGTATTTGTTATAATGTTGCTTTTAGAAGGTAGCTAACTACCTAACTATACTTATGGAAATGCTGTGAGCTGTATTGTACTCTAATACTCTATAGAACAATATGTCTAAATTTCGATTTAACAAACAATAGTCAATTCGGACAATGTTCAATAGGGTATAAGTCATCTGCTATTTTGATACGTCACACTTCTTTGCTTTTTTGGACGTAAGCTTAGATTATCTTAATACAGCAAAATGGAAACTGAAAGTATTTTCTCAGTTGTTGCTGTGACTGTGAAGAGCATGGATTTATTCTAGTTCTATGGTGCAGAGCTTGTTGGCTAACCATAGGGGAGATACATGAGCTACAGAAAGGCTCAGTTCAACTGTGTCTGATCTAAAGTCTGTATCAGTGATAAATGTGTGTGCGTGCTTGTGTTGTTGTTTACCTCTTCACTGGTTTTCCACTGTTGACCTGATTTTCTTGTTTTAGATGCCAGTTACAAACTAAATATTTAGTAGGGATGTTTTTATTTATTATGAAACTGTTGTGACTCTTCAGATTGTAGGTGTGTTTTGAGCTTTTACAGAAGAAAATGTCATTACTGCCATTGACACTCATATAATGTTGCCACTCATTCTAAAAATTTGAAATGTTTTGATGTTATAGGCATAATCGTTACAGGAGGAGAGAATGGGGTACAGTGTGAGATGCACATAGCTGACCACCACTGTGTGCAGTAGTGATGGGCTCATTCTAACACATGTTTGCATCCAAAAGGGGAAGGACTTAGCAACAGTCTTTGCATAGATGCATAGACAGAACAACAGTAGACATACACTACCATATTACTCAGTGGGGCTTGTTCAAAATTTGATAGCAGAGGGGATCAGACTTCTTCTCTCTTTGCACCTGAGCACCCTGTACCAAATGAAATATTGAGAGACATTATGATTTGGTATTCTGTTTTAGTCCGAAATGGCTGATGTTAAGAACTTTCTCTATGCCTGGTGTGGGAAGAAGAAAAAGACCCCCAATTATGACATCAGAGCTGCTGGCAACAAGAACAGACAGAAGTTTCTTTGTGAGGTGAGGTTCACTTCTTCTACATATTATCTATGCCCACAAGTCAGTGTAATGCATGCAGGCTGATGGAGAGGGACTCAAATGTACTGTTCTCTATTCCAGGTTCGTGTGGACGGCTATAACTACACAGGAATGGGGAACTCCACTAATAAGAAAGATGCTCAGTCCAACGCGGCCAGGGATTTTGTGAATTACCTGGTTCGGATTGGAGAGATGAATGCTGCCGAAGTCCCAGCGGTGGGGGTTGGTTGTTATGTTTAGCTTTCCTTTTGAGTTTGAAAAATCTAGTGTTAATTTCATGCTGCATTACAAGATCAAGTTGGGCAACACAGGTTTTCTTGTTTTTTTATCATTATTACTTGATTTGGTGGGATAGTATTTTTGGGAAATATTTATCATAGTTTTACAGTGAAAGATAGTGTTCAGTGAAATGATGACACAATCAAATTCTAGAATGTGAATGCAACCTGAACGCCATCATCTGGACTTTCTCACTCTGTAGGTTGGTGCTCCAGAGATGGATCAGCCTGCAGGAGGTGATCCAGCAGGTTTTGGAAACCTACCCTCCAGTGGCCCTCTGCCTCCTCACCTGGCTGTTAAAGCTGAACAAGGTATAATCATCACAAAGCAAAGATTGTGGACTGCAGGTATATAGACCATTGTCAGTCACGTCACAAGTTTGGTTGCACTGCCATGCTGGGAGACATCTGGATCCCCACCCCTGCTAGAGAGAAAGCTGTTTCTCAGATGGGAGGATGGCGTTAACAGACTTAAAGCTTTCCAAGGCAGTTTAGCACTTACGTGGCCAGGGAAGACAACTCTATATGGAAAAATATGCACTTGTCAGTGCTAAAGACCCCATATGATTGTCCACAATCTTGGTTTACAATCTTCCAAAACTCCCAGTTTACCTTGCCATGACCTTTACAGCTATCTGGTTAACCAGCAGTCGTACTTCACGGAGCACAACTGAAAGCTTATTCTTTAGAGGCTTATAAATATTTCTTGTCTGGATGGGTTTCAGACCTTGAACTGTGGAAAGTGCCTCAAACAAAGTATTTCGTCTTCATCTCAAAGGTGAATATAAAAGAGCATAACGAGGAAGGAGTAACGGTAATCGCTCCTCTGCCGCCTTTGGACTCAGGAGAAGAGGCGGCTGGGGGTACAATTCAATTAATTAATTTTTTTTTTTAACTTGTTCTATCTACTGACTCTCCTCTTCTCTTTTTGGCTTGCTGTTTTCTCTCAAGCTTTTCCAGATCTACATTTTGCCTTCTTTTTTCTGGAGTTGAGACAATAAAAATTGATGGAACATAGGCTGGGGACAAGGGGTTGCTGCATTTTTTTACCTGAAGGAAGATAAAAATACATCTCAATTAGATGCCTGCAGTTTGAGTTACTGAATTTTCCGAATGCATTTGTCTTTACTTATTCATATCTATATATTCAAAATTAGACCAGCTTACGAAACAACATTAGACAGAAACTTACCCCCGACATAGTGCTGGCTACATAGTCGAGAGCCCTCTGAGGGCTTCCAGCGATTGCGCGATGTTCAGGGTCAGCAAGCAGTGTATAAAATGAAACCCCTCCTTGGTATGTCGAGTGGTGCACCCAAAGGCACAACAGGAATGTACCGTAACTTTTTACAGCTGTGCTGAGTAGGAGTATGGTTTGTTTTGCCTCCAGCAAACGTTGCCATTGTTAGTCATGTGATCAATGATGAAAGCTGAGAATGGTCTATAACATATTTTGACCTTTAGTTGCAAAAACATGTGTAATCAATCATAAACATATGCATGACATCCAATATTAAATTAAGTTAAACTGTGTGCAGCAAATTACAGTTCTGTGTGTGTGCTCTCCAGAGGACTCAAGTGGAAACGTCCCTGTCCCAGGAGTGACAGGACTGGGCTACTCTGGAGGCAGAGGAAACCCAGGTTTTGGGCCTGGTTATAGATCTGCACCAGGAGGGGCCCAGTGGGAGGCAGGGGCCAACCTGAAAGAGTACTACAACCGCAGAGATGAACAGGAGGCCCAGGCGGTAACTTTCTACAAGTTTATTGAATTGGCGATGGCAATACATTGATGTCATGCTTATAAAGTATTCCACTTTTATGCTCCATTGTTTTATTTTCTATAGACCTTGGAGTCAGAGGAGGTTGACCTGAACGCTAATCTTCATGGAAACTGGACCCTTGAAAATGCCAAAGCTCGATTAAACCAGTTTTTCCAAAAGGAAAAAATGACTGCTGAGTACAAGTACAGCCAAGTGGGGCCAGATCATAACAGGTTTGGGTCTTGTCAACACCAACACTACTCTTAGTTTAGTTCCGGGTTATGTCTTGGTTTTGACTTGATAAATGAGCAGGAGTTGATAAACATTTCTGTATGGATCTGAGCAGCATTTTGCCTGTAGTATGCTGTCATTATCTTAGGTGTGTTTTTCTGCCTGACTGCTGAGAAGTATTATAAGGGTTATTCTATAATTAGGGGTACATTTCATGTCTGCTCAATGTATTTATCAACTGTACAATTATTTCCTCAAAGCAATAATTTTACATTATCAGCTCCTCTTAGGACAAAAAAAGGGGACCTGATAGCATTATTGATTTTTGCAGAATAAGTCAATTTATATGGTGAAAATAGCATTTTTTCCTTGTCTGCTTTTCGGATTTCAAAGTTTCATGTAATTTGGTAATAGATAAAGAATTGAGTTTAATTACAGTAATATGCCTTGGTATCTTAAACATCTTAAAACATAAAAAAATCTCAACTGGGTAACGCTTCCCATGGACTTCATTATAAAATCAGCGTTACCCAGTTGACATTGGTGAGATTTAGTCACGATTGTTTTTAGGCTTTTGAAGCAATATACATACTTTTTTTTTTAATCTAAAATGTCAAAACTTTTTCATTCATGTTCAATGGATTATAGATTTCAACAAACACATTTCAATATGAAGTGTCAATGGCCCATCCCCCAGTTCACAAAATAATTATCTGGACACTTTAAAAACATGAATAATTAAAAAATGACAAATGTTTAAGATGGCCAACTAATTATTTATGTTCCCTTGTGGGTATATTTTCAATATATGTTATTATGTTAGCAAAAAACATAACTTATTTTTTCACTTTTTATTGAAGTGGAATGTACCCCTAATTATGGAATCACCTATAAATTGCTCTACAGTATTACCACTAACAACATTCATTATCATTCCTTCAACACAGAGCTCAGGCCCTATCTGACACTCTTGCCTCCAGGAAATTCCTGTGTTAATGGCAAACTGTTTTGGGCACAGTTTTGATTTGTTGAGTTGTTATCAAATAACATTTCACAAACAAATTGTTACTGAACGTTGCATGTAATTATTTTTCCACGGGAGAATCTATCTTAAAGACATGAGAATGCTGTAAAAACTAAATATTCAGGGCTGTAGCCAAAGCAAATTTCTGCCCTTAGTCCCCTGCTGGACCAAGGCGAGCCACATTACCCACACAAAGAATTTGGTTGAAACTAACTGCTTGCTGTAGCTATGTTAAAGTAGTACATTTGGTCTACATCTGTGAAGGGCAGTGTCAGCAGAAGTTTGTCATACTCAGAGCAGACATGGGGCAGCGTTTAGGTGACTCTAAAGCTGCTCCATGGCCAGTCTGGGCCTGTGTCCTCTAGTCATTCTGCTGTCATTGTCCTCACAGGGGCCAGGATCTGTCTTTTTAAAACCAAGTCTGGCAGAAAAACACACCTGCACACAACAGGTGAGTCCGCACCCAGACAGTTCCAGTACTTAGCATAATCTGTTATTTTGGACTTAACGGTTTGAACGTGTTTAATTTGGATTTATGATGTCAGAAAAGGTAGAATTACTATTTAATTTAGATAAGATCAGGATTTAATTTCTTCCTGTTTCAGGGAACATGTCTCTCAACTGGATCTTACAAAAGTTAGTTTTTTTCATCTTGCTCCACTGTTGTGACGCTTTGACCAATTGGAAACCTGAATGTCATGACAACAAATAGTTATGACATTCCATGTTTTCCCATCGCTTTCCAAGAGCCATTCCAGACTGATGTGTATCTATCAATCTGGCATGAGCTGGGTTAAATCGTCTTGGCCTATAGAATGGTATAGAGTGGCAAATCTATAGATCAGCATTCTATTTTGATATTCTTAAAAAAAATTATGTTTGAAATTATAACATCAAATTTTAGAACGTAGCAGGGTATGAAATATTGTTTGCTCATATAAGTCCATGGAAGTGTTTTTTTTTCCCTTTTTAATTATTTAAGTTTAATTATTATTTAATTACTGAATATCGAAAGCTCACTAAAACCCTGCAAAATCTGCTTTGTAAATGTGACGTGTGTTGGTACTTCCAGGAGCTTCATTGCTGAAATGCAACTGTTCGTGAGGCAGCTTGGCAGGAGTAAGTATCTTCACACACAAATTGCTTTCTAAAGCCAAAGGACAATAGTTGCTCAAATCTTCCTTGTAATTTGTAACCTTGGGTATATTTCCAAGATTTCTGGAATACACAGTAGATTGAGACATTTTCCTGCCCACCTAATTTTTTTTAAAATATTGTTTTATTTTAGTAATTGATTAAATACTGGGGGTGGGACTAAATACAATTTCCACAAGACAAGATTTTAATGTATAATGGATTGTGTAATCCAGTTGGAAATTTTCACCCCACATTTTAAAATTTTTTAATAATTGTGTTCTCATTTTTAATAATTGTGTTTTCATTGTAGATCTGCTTTTTGGATCTACAGCTTCTGAACAAGTGTAACTCGCCAACATTTAACATTTAACCTAACTTTTTTTGTTGGGTCTTTTTTTTTTTGTGTGTGTGTCTTAAGACCTTGTTCCATCCTTTTACAAATAGGCAAATGTCAACCCAAAACACCTTTAGTCTGACAGTTTAACATCCATTTAAGAAAACGATGGTGTTCTTGGCTTACAATTCCACCCCTTTTCTTCTTGAAGGAATCACAGCTCGAGAACATGGCTCCAATAAGAAGTTGGCTGCTCAGTCTTGTGCTTTGTCCCTGGTCCGACAGCTGTACCACCTGGGCGTCATTGAGCCTTTTTCTGGAGTTACTAAAAAGAAAGAAGGAGAAACTGTAAGTGAATTTAAATAGACCCAGTTCGTACCAACAGGTCTTCCGCAGCTCATTAAATCTCAAATGTGGTTTCTCTCAGTTGGAGCCATACGATGTGACCATTTCTCCTGATCTGGAGCAGCAGCTGGGAAGTCTTGTCGAAGAGCTTGGCCTCAGTATTCCACCTCCAGTAAGCCTCACATTTCAGCTCAAGCTACTATTGATAAGGATTTGACAGAACAGCTCTTTGCAGCTGCTCTGTTTTGACTTGTTTTTGTGTGCGCGCGCGTGTGTGTGTGTGCGTGTATATATGTTTATTTATATACATATATATTAAAATTAAATTAAATAAATCAATTTTGAGAGAGATATAGTGAGTGCGTGGGCTTGGGTTTTACCTCTGTGAGCATGGTCCTAGCTGCCGTAGAGATAAGCAAAGTGCTGCACTTAGTCGGAGTTTTATAAATCCCGCGGTTGGTGTAAAGAGGTAGTGTGTAAACAAGCTTTATAAATGAAGCCCTGGATCCATGGACAGGTACGGGAATTTGTTTGTTCCATGGGCCATTTGTCACAACAGAACCCTGTAACAGTTCACTCTTTGATCTGTGCAAGAGAATGAACTGTTAACTAAAGTAACTGCATATGTTTTTTAGGGATGGGTACCCAATTGGTGATATGTTGTGGCTTATTTTTTTTAATCCTTCTTTCCCCAAGCCTTAGCAACAGGTTTGATTGACAGCATTGCTAAGCGGCTGCTTCTTACCTAACGGCGGTGCAGGGGGAGGTCGGGGGTTACCTTGAACACTCTCGCGGTCGGATTTCCAAATATGGAACTCTGCTCTAAATCTGTAACTCCATTACCTCTAATGGCTTAATTTGAATGCTATGGTGACGTCACACTCACTTAATCCACTTCTTTATACAGTCTACGGTGCTGCACCAGTTATTTTATACTTGTATTAGGAAATGAATTGACTAACTCTGAATTGTTCGTCTCAGCCCTCAGGGCCTGGCGAGCCAGTGTCTCTGGTTCACCCAAAGATAGCATCGTTCGAACCGTCGCAGAAGCAAAGCACAGCTGGTGTGGTCCCCTGGTCTCCTCCTCAGGTTAACTGGAACCCATGGACCAGCAGTAACATCGACGAGGGCCCGCTTGCTTTTGTAAGTACACACTTGTACTGCTGTGGGGCCTGTAGCTACCGATAATGTAATAATGGATAATAATATAATGATTTTGTCCAAGTTTAAATGTAATAAGCGTAAAATGTAATAACAGCCAATAATGTAATGTCTGTGGTGAGCCAATAACCCACCCACTGCAGCCAATAATGACTACATTATTGGCTGCAGTTATTACATTGTGAGAAAATTGTCCATGTCAGGCCAAATATATAATAACTAACCATTTAAGTATATATTATTATGCATTATTACAATGTTAGTGTTTCTCAAGCTATGGTACACAGGCTCCTTCAGGTGGGACTTGGGCAGCGCTTCAGTTTGTAGGTTTGCCTCATTTAGAGTTCTTTAGTACATTATTGGCAATGTGGTATTACGTCATTGGCTCACCATAGTTATTACATTATTGGCCTGTTATTACATTCATATGGGCTTATTACATTTAAACTTATTATTACATTATTGGCTGTTAGTATGTCACCGCCAACTTTAGTACAGTGCCATTACTAGATACTTTGACTAACATTTGGTCATTCCCTGCAGTGCACTCCAGAGCAGATCAGTGATGACCTCTATAAGGAACTCACTTGTCAGCTAGAGCACGATACAGAGCTCCAAAAGGTTTGTTTGAATGTTTGTTTGCAGAGTATTTGGCTGTGTATCAATGGCCTTATCCAGAGCAGTGTTTCTGGACCTTAGTGTTTTTAATCTCTCCTCTCTGTGTTGTTGAAAATGCCAGATGCTGATGGAGCGAGAGCAGCTCCCTGTGAAGCAGTTTGAGGATGAGATCATGAGCACTTTGGACAACAATTCTGTGGTGATTATCAGAGGAGCTACTGGCTGTGGGAAAACCACCCAGGTCCCACAGTACATCCTTGATCGCTTCGTTAAGAGCGGCCGGGCATCGGACTGTAACATTGTGGTCACACAGGTAAGAGTTTAGAAAAGCCTCACGGATCGGTTCGCATATGACTTTTCGGTCAATAATTTTGGATCCATTGGAATTTGGTAAGATGGGGCTGTCTCTATTATGTTTAAACAACCATGTCAGACCATCTGTACACTGTTGATAAAATTATCACATTTATGTTGGACATTTGGACACCCGGAACATTTTTTGTTCATTATTATATTCTACTTACTTTGGGCTCATTCTTTCTAAATTTTGCTATAAAAAAGTGGCAATTCAAATGTTCAAATGCTGTGCACATTTTATGCGCTTAACAGAAGAATTTTTTTTTTTCTGGCGATGACAGAGGGTTAAACGATGTGATTAACACCAAAAAATTTGTAATTTTTTATTTTAATTTTTTCTCCAGCCTCGGAGGATCAGCGCTGTCTCAGTTGCAGAGAGGGTTGCCTTTGAAAGAGGAGAGGATTTGGGAAAGAGTTGTGGCTACAGTGTTCGCTTTGAGTCTATTCTTCCTCGCCCTCATGCTAGCGTCCTATTCTGCACTGTTGGTAAAATTAACATTGTGCCTCTTTTTTGTAAAAATGTAAAAATAATTTCAAGTAATGTTTCACAAAAGAGTTTTTTTTTAAAGCTTGATAACTAATGTAACTGCCACATTGTATGTTTTGCACACTTGTAATTACAATATAATTTAATTAATAATCACAATATATTCTCATCAAACTGTCATAATCACAGCCTTTAGCCACTTCTGATTGTCATTTCAGATAGCATTGTGTGCTCTCCCTGCGTACCCTTGCTCACAGATCACAGTCCAGCTGCCTGTTTCAGCTTTGTAATCAGACGAAATTACACAATTCCGTGAGGAGATGCTGCTTGGAAAGAGCACAGTCTCACATGACAGTATCTGTGTTGACTGCCTTGTATTTGCTGTAGCTCCAAGTCCATGCCCTCATTCTTATTGGGCCCAACAGCTGTGACCTGTCTGCATTAAAAACATGATAAGAGCTGCTATCAATCCTCATACACTTAATGAGTTCTGAGCACCAGACAAGGAGCTAATCTCCCTTCCACTTTCTACATTGTGATAACATTCTAACCCATGAAGTCAGATGTCTTGACAAACATCCTCATGGCCCACGGATGATGTGTTTTTGCCTCCTTAGGTTTGTAACTTAATATATCTTTTTATACTTGCAGGTGTTTTACTGCGAAAGCTTGAAGCTGGGATCCGAGGCATCAGTCATGTGATAGTGGATGAAATCCATGAGCGAGACATTAATGTGAGTTAAATATCTCCTCAGACCTGTGTTCTCATGTTTGTAGAAATCCGGTCTGACCACTCTTGTTTTGTTCCGCTCTACATGCAGGTCAAAGACACAAATGATAAGGAATTAAGCATTAGCTAATAAAAAGCATATGACCATACTTTAGCACTTTTTTACACATGCTTGGAATTACGTTGTTTTCAGCAGTGCAAAGCTCTGTTTTTTTACTTTACATATTACCATAGTGGCCCAAAACAATAAAACTACTCACCTGAAGCTGCCAAGTATGAAAATTTTGCTTTAGTCTGGAAAATAATCTGTTAAAATAAATTATGGGGAGACAAAATGAACCTCATTGGACATATGCTTTTAATAATCTCCTGACAGTTTCTCACCCTAGCGCTGTGCAGTTGAATGCTGCTCTTAGTGTTATCACAGTGCAGTCCCTGCAGTGTGGCAGAGCTCTTGATTTCACTAGAGTTCTCCAGATTTGTTCATGGATTTAAATCACAAACCCCCCACTCAATGTTGGGTGTTTACATGCATTGTAGAATCCCGTTTAATTCGGGCTAGGCCACAGATGAGCTTTCCGGGCATGTGTGTCAATGTAAGTGCGTGAGGAGTCTTGTCAGTCCCTGATCGTATCTTCACAGACGGACTTTCTGATGGTGGTCCTCAGAGACGTGGTCCAAACTTACCCTGAGGTCCGAGTCATTCTGATGTCCGCCACCATCGACACCACCATGTTCAGGGAATACTTTTTCAACTGCCCGGTTATCGAGGTGTATGGTCGCACTTTTCCGGTTCAAGGTGATGACATATTCTTTGGCTTTAGATGAAGACATTGGATCACATTAATGCGTCTGAAATATTTTCTATGCAGAGTATTTTCTTGAAGACTGCATTCAGATGACTAATTTTGTGCCTCCTCCAAATGACCGCAAGAAAAAGGACAAAGATGAAGAGGGGGGTGATGATGACGTAAGTAGATGATCATTTTAAAACCAACATTTAGAAGTTAAAAAAATGCCTGTACCTGATATTTGTTTACGAAAATACCCTATGTTCTATACATTGTTGTAAACGCAGCTATTTATGAGGAATAAAAATTAGACACTAAAGCCATTGCCTGTGCATTAATAATTGTTGGGCTAGAACAATGTGGAAGCAACTGCATTGCCTGTCCTTGAGGGTTATTGCTTTATCATTCATGATAGCCCTGTTTGCTATACAAAAGCTGTTTTAAATTAACTTTTTAAAGATGCTGCTATATAAATGTTTTTTGAAATCAAGAGGTTTCACCTCCCTTCCACAAGTAATTTTTAATTTGCCTGTCTTTAGAACAATATAACTCATGATTTGGTTAACTGTTGGAAAGGAGATACTTTTATGGCAATCTACCAGAGATGTGCTAAAAAGGCCCTGTAAATTATGGTTGAGGTTGCTTGCTTCCTTCTATTATATATAGTAACTGTCGATCTCCACTGGCAGTGTTTCTAAGTAAAAACACTTTTTCTCTAATCAGTGATTTGTTATTATTTGCAAATGCATCTGATCTGTTAGAATGTTGTTTCCACATCAAAAACATACCAGAAGTTGTATTTTGTTTCATTCAGACATGTTTAACATAGAAACCCTGCATATTTAGACTGAGTTCTTCCCTAAAAAACACTCTCTCTTCCACCTTGTGATGCCATACATGAAGTGCTCCACTGTGTACTCAAACTCCATACACTTTGCTAGAATCATTTGAATGATTTCAGCCCTGGAATTGCCAATCTCAACTGAACGAATAGGTAACGTAGCTGTTAACTTGCAATCTAATACTACTACTACTACCAGGAGCTCAGTTGGTAGAGCATTCGCCCACTGATCTGAAGGTTCGCGGTTCGGATCCAGCTCTCAACATTTACATTTACATTATGATGACGTTTTGAGCTTTGCAAATGCAGACAAACTAATAATGCGAGATTAACCAAATGTATGAATGAAACCACTTTTTGAGGTCACAAAAATAAAGTTTGCATAATATAGGACCTTTAAATCTTGTTTTGTATTCTGATAACATTTAACTTTGTGTGTGCGCAGGTGAACTGTAACGTAATATGTGGTCCAGAGTACACACCAGAGACAAAGCGCTCCATGGCTCTTATCAATGAAAAGGAGACATCTTTTGAACTGGTGGAGGCTCTGCTGCGCTACATTGAGACACTGAATGTGGAAGGAGCAGTCCTGGTGTTCCTGCCCGGATGGAACCTGATCTATGCCATGCAGCGCCACCTGGAGATGCACCCACACTTTGGTAACGAATTGCCACAACTTCACAACACATTGCAAGCGTAGATAGATGGGGGGGTTATTCAGGATGGACAGAAGCTTGTTTAAGGCCATCTTCTCAGTCATTTTATGGCATGTTCACACTATGGTATGTCACAATATCAAATGTTAATGTTGAAGGCCACATATTACACAAAATGGATTCGTATCCTCCAAATCTGAGGCCATGGTTCTCGACTGGAAAAAGGTTGCTTGCTCTCTCCAGGTTAGTAGAGAGTCCCTGTAGAGATTGGAGGAGTTGAAGTATCTCAGGGTCTTGTTCATGAGTCAGGGAAGGATGGAGCATGAGATTGACAGGCGGATTGGTAGAGCGTCTGCAGTGATGCGATAGCTGTATCGGGCCATTGTGGTGAAGAAGGAGCTTAGTCGAAAGGCATAGCCTCTGCAACCCAGCCCCGAATAAAGTGGAAGAAAATAGATGGATGGATTCTTCTGAGCTTGAAGCCAGTTTACATATTTGGAGCTGTATAATAAAGAGCCGGTGTAGAAGGATAGAGCAGAAGGAAACTGATTGGAAAGCTCTGTGGCTTGGGAAGCTTGAGTGGTTGTGGCTGTAGCTGTAAATGAAGCAGCGGCAGGGGACTAGAGACTAGAGAAACTGAAGATGGGATGAAGGGATGACAAACATAACAGCTACTGGTGGTGATACGACCCGAGAGAGAGAGAAAGATATTTTATTTGGTTAAAATTTAGGTCAAAGGACACAAGTATGGGACTGTTGGATTATGTGAAATGCAGTTTTTTCCCACTTATCCATGTAGACCATACAATAGGCTACCTCAGGAGCGAGCTATGGGCTTTTTACACCAGCAAATGTGGCAGAAGACCTTCAAAGGACATTCTTTGAGGGAATGAACACAAGGGACTGTTGGATTGTGTGAAATGAACTTTGTTTTTCTCACATCCTCCCATAAGTAGCTAGCTATGGACATTCAAATTGTATGATATATATAGGGGTGGGACGGTCACAGGACGAGATATGAGATGGGGTCAACAAGAAGAAAATTATATAAATTCACAATTTTGATCACATGATTTTAAATCTGTTTAATTTAGCATATATTGTATTGTGAATGTATTTTAAGTGCTGATATAGTTAAAAATTGCATCATCACCGTCATTTTTAATAGCCTAAATGCTTTATGCTTTAATCCCCATATTTGATTTGGACATATTATTTTGCAATCTTTTTTAATCAACTTGAACACTGATTATCTGTGTCAGTATTGCTCCTATCACTACAAAATAAAAACTAGAACAGTTTAAAGTGTTTTATTTCTGAATATGTGCAGTTCATGCCTGTGACAAATGTAAATACAGATGATAAAATCGCATGTGTGCACAAGATCTCGACCTGTCCCTGATGTATATGATTATTACATGTTTATTATGGGAGTATGGCAAATTCAATAGATTATCTGTCTCTTTTCAGGCAGTAACAATTACCGCATTCTGCCTCTGCATTCACAAGTCCCCCGAGAGGAGCAGCGGAGAGTATTTGAGCCAGTGCCTGAAAATGTCACTAAGGTCTACAACAAAACGCCATCATAAAATCCACTGATGTTGTGTTTGTGAGCTTACCTGTACTTATTCTTAATTCTGTAGGTCATTCTCTCGACGAATATTGCAGAAACCAGTATTACTATCAACGATGTGGTGTACGTCATTGACTCCTGCAAGTAAGTGTCCATGTAAAGAGCATAGGGTGTACTGTTGAGGGGATGGGGCTGTATAGACTAAATGATAATTCATAGAATAGAGATTATGGCACTGAGGAAGAACTATGAGCAGCTTAACAGACCAATACTGCTTCAAATCTGGAGACGCCCCCTCGTTAACACTAGCTTTAAGACCGGGGGCAAGATAGAATGAAGCGTTCAAGTCTTAATTTCTTGAGGTTTTTATGAATATGTCTTAGAGATAATGGAAACTTAACCTACCCTTTCCGTGTCTCAGAAAATAAGAACATTGTGTAAAAGTTCAAAATCAGGTAGTCGTGTCACACCCTAATCAGCTAATTAGTTCAATACTCCTGCAAAAGAAGACAGTCACTGACACCCTCCACTAGGAGGCTAAACCACAAAAGGTCATTGCTAAAGAAGCTGATTGTTCACAGAGCACTGTGTCCATATTCATAGAAATATGAGTGGTGTGGTAGGAAAAAGTGCACCAGTCAAAGAGATGACTTGAGAGGATTCAAAAGCAAAATCCACTCAAGAATTGTTGAGGTCATAAGGAGTGAACTGAGGCTGTAGTCGGCGCGTCAAGAGCCACTCCACACAGACGATGCCTGTATGGGACATGAGATGATGTCAAAGTCTTGCCTGGGCCGTGAAGAAAAACACTGGACTGTTGCCGATTGGTCCTGCTACAAACAAGTGCTAGTTGCAAAGGAAAGTAACACATACAAGATGTGATTTAAATCAAGTTGCTTTTATGAAGTATATGGAGGTCAAGTTTTACATGAATAAGTAAAACTAAGAACAGAAAGAGACTCATGAATAGAAGGAATAACAATAACTCAAAGTAAATGTACAAACACCCAGAGGCCAAATCAATTTAGCAGTCACCCAAACTCACCAAGAGGGCGACCTCAACTGTATTGACTAACAGTTTACACAAGTACACATATTAACAGTACATGAATAAGAGACATGTCTGGTTCAGAACAAGGCTGGACACTATGGCTGTGGCTGGACACTGTGGTCCAGCCACAGCCACATGGAGATGCTGATTTCATCTTCTAGCCGGACTGTGTACCTGCCCACACAGCCATAGGTACCAAAAACTGGTTCAGTGACCATGGTATTCCTCTGCTTGATTGGCTTGCAAGCTCATCTTATCTGAATCCAATAGAGAATCTCTGCAATATTGTCAAGAGGAAGATGAGAGACACCAGACCTAGCAATGCACATGACCTGAAGGCTGCTATCAAAGCAGCCTGGGCTTCCATTACACCTGAGCAGTGGCACAGGGTGATCGCCTCCATGCTGCAATGATGCAGTAATTCATGCCAGAGGAGGCCCAACCAAGTATTGAGTGCAAGGAAATTAACATACATTCAGAAGCTTGACATTTCTGTTTAAAATATTCTTTTTTATTTATCAAATTTTCTGAGACACATAATTTCCTGTTTTCATTATCTGTAAGCCATAATCATAAAAATAAATAAATAAAGGCATTAAAACTTCACTTTGTATAATGAATCTATATAATATAAAGATCTGACTTTTTGAAATGAGTGACCCGGACTCAGAAGGAGGAGGGGAGAGGGGTTCAGTTCAGCAGTGACTGATCATCTGTATCGGGGATCTGTAGTCTGCAGTGTCCCTGTTTTTTAGCCAACAGTTTTTCAACAACTGCTGACTTTTTCAGTTTCAACAATTTTCTTGATTTAGATGTGAGGCACAAGCTAAATATTTTGAGACCTTTATATTTATTAAACTGTAACAGCTCTTTCACATTCTGGATGTGTTTTGAGCTCTTACAAGAGGAAATTTCATTTCTGACCATTGACACTTGTATACCTTTGCCACTCACTAATAAAGTTCGTTGGTTGTGAAAGGTTGTGATGTCATCTTACAGTTACTTTTGCTTGTATAGTAGCTTCCTCAAATTTTTTTTTAATAGACCACATCTTAGTGCTTCTACTTGAGTAATATTATTTTGAAGTAACTGCTGAAATCTTCTGTATCCACCTCTGGCTGTCACTAGACCATCAAGTGTTTTTGCTGTGTGAGCTGATAGATTGCATATGCTTGTTCCCTTAAAGGCAGAAAGTCAAACTCTTCACATCTCACAACAACATGACAAACTACGCCACAGTTTGGGCCTCCAAGACCAACCTGGAGCAGCGCAAAGGGAGAGCCGGGAGGGTCAGACCTGGCTTCTGCTTCCACCTGTGCAGCCGCGCTCGTTTTGAAAGGTAACGCATGTTTCATTTTATACACCAGGGGGCACAAGTAGGCTTGTCATGATGATTACTGTATCATCTTATCTTTCAGTGTTTTCTAGATGAAATTATATTTTTTGGGTCCATATTTACCTTTTACCTCTTTCTTTACTTTGCTGTTCTATGATTAAATTTGAGATGTAGAGGGTTGAATTAATACCTTCTATTATAGATACAAAAACCTCATAGATAAAAACCAACTGCTGATGTGTTTTATTTGGGTGTTTATTCATTACAGTATCTTTTTAGCAGTATGGTACATTTAGAATAGTTCTTTTTTCAATGGGCTTTTAAAGACTATGTCTTCTTGACCTTGTGACCATGTCACAAAAAGCATCTCAGGTCAAACATTTTTTGTATTTTATATATGTATTTTATGTATATATTGTTTTTTCTTGTTGTAAAGTGGGCAGATCTCACTGGGTGACCTCACTGGGGGACCTCCCATTCTTTGGAGGGGGTATGAGCACCTGGGCTGGCAACTGTTTTGTGTACTGTGGTCCAAAGCAAAAATGATCTGACAAAGGCTTTTTGCCGAAACGTTATCTAAAAAAAATAAATAAAAATTACATTCTGCTGATTGCTACTAAACTATTTAATGTTGTGATTCGCCCTGCTCTCCCACAGACTGGAGACCCACATGACTCCAGAGATTTTCCGAACCCCTCTGCATGAAGTGGCTTTGAGCATCAAACTGCTGCGACTTGGAGCCATTGGGCACTTCCTGTCTAAGGCCATCGAACCTCCACCGCTGGATGCTGTGATAGAAGCAGAGCACACTCTGAGAGGTATAGTTTAATAACTCTAATCTGCAATGTCTGTCAACGTGGATATATCATGCTTTTTCTCCTCCTTTTATTGACTCTTGTTTCAGTTGCATTCATTAGTATCATACCTGAATCCTAGTCATTACAGTATCCCAGTATTCCCTTAAAATGCACCTGCCTTTCACATTGTCACTGTGCTTGTGTCTGCTGTATAGTTCTAATCTATGACACCCGTGTTTCATTATGTTATAATTTGGACATTTCAAATAACAATATTCATCTAAAAACATAATAAACAAACTGACTTCCACATTAGAAAATTGAGGTGCCCAATAGGAGCTGATGTCGCCATAAATGTCATCACTGTTGACTTCCCATGCAATGTAATGTGACACGGCGGTTGAATAAAAAATATTCTTTACGACAAAAGCCTCAAGTTTAGGCATTTATAATCACAAAAAATTTTCATTGTCATTTTTCATTGTTCCAAAATGACTACACAGTAATTACAAAGCAGTGGGCGTGAGTGATTTTAAAGATTACTGAAATATAGATGTTAATACTTTACACTCACAGTGCTCCTATGTGAAGCACAGTGTGGGACCAGGACAAAAAACAACACCTCCGCAACATAAGCACATGATCAAACATGCTGCAGGTAATACAAAAATACAAAACAGCAGCAGCCTGGAGACTTGCTCTGCCTGGCCCCAATCTTGGCTGCAATGGCAACATCAACAGGTGTCAGTTCAAATTGGGGTAAAGGAATGCGAGAGCGTCTCCCTGCTGTAATCTCCAGGGGAGTTGATTCTAGCCGGCCTTGGCCGAGACCGGGCTGGCTGAGGGAGGCCAATGGATAAGACTGGGTTTAGGGCGAGTAGCCACGTTTCAATTTCCTCAGCTACTCTGTCCATTTTGGTCTCAAGATCTTCTCCTAGGCAGTGCTTCCAATTTCTCCCAAATGGTATCAATACCATACTGTGGCGGTTTAGAGCCACATTTCATCCAAAGGACGCAAGCCTTTCAGAGATGTTTTCTAAAATGTGGTATGAAGCTGCAGATCTCTCCATAACGCAGTTCATGGTCGCAGTCTGAATGCTGGAAACCCTGCCCCGTATTTCAGTCAAACCGGGCAACCAAGTGGGACTTTGAACAGCTGCTTCAGCAATCCGAATTTTCCGAAAGATCAGGGCCATGCCTAATCCAGTCAGCAAAAGTCCTTTAATCCTGGTTCCAAAGAGGTAAATATCTTCTATGTCCTCCACGGAAAGAGCTGCCAGACACATGATGTGCCACTTATCCCAACTGTCCAGCGTGTAACATGCAACGAACATCCCAAGAGGGCAAATGTTCCTCATGAACATCCTGAGACCACTTGATCAAATCCATAATTAGAAGAAGAGCAGAGTGGAGAGAGTCTCTCAAAAGTATAAGATACTAGACTAGACAAGACAAAGACGCAGAGCAGGGGAGTTAAGGGCAGGAGGGGAGAGACAAAAATTGTCTGCCCTTGCCTCGTTCCAGAGGAGAGTAGCAAATATCAAATCACTCGAAATAAAACTTCGACTATAACATGGTTAAAAGAAAACCATGAAAAGTCGATTTTGAAGACATTTCTTTAGTTGTAATGTTTGGCCTCAGCTTCATTAACACTTTTTGTTGTAGTTTTCTATCTCCACCAATCTGCAAACACATGTATGTTAGCTTTACATCTAACATCTAACATATAAGAGCTTTACATCTCCGTGGCATTTTCCAGAACATATAACATTTCCTGTATCTGGAAAACAGTTTAAATGCAAGAAGCCTAAATTCAATCCAATAGATTCACTTTATAACTCCTGCTGACAGCAATAGGCAATGAAATGAAATGAATGAAACAATGAAAAAAGATAAAGCAACCATGTAGCAAAGTGTCTAACATGTTAATATACACACACAGTCATTGTGAAACTAAATTGAATACTCGTGGTTTATTTGATGAACTGATTTCTGAACAAGAACCTTGCAAACAGGATTAATATACGAGTGTGAATGGAGTAAAATACAACTCCAGGTATGACATTTGATGAATGGACAATATTATAACAAAGTTCAAAGTATATTTTGACATGTCTCCTATAAAACACAATTTCTTCCTACTCCTTTTTGAGCATAATTGTCCTACTGCACAATATAAAATAATCTTTCATGTTGATATTAATAAATTAATTAAATTGGTACACAAATACTTGCCAGAAATGTATGTTGATTGTGTATTTCAGAGCTGGATGCACTGGACTCCAACGATGAGCTCACTCCTTTGGGTCGAATCCTGGCCCGACTCCCCATTGAACCTCGACTTGGCAAAATGATGATTATTGGCTGCATCTTTTAGTAAGTTCATTCAGATACAAATTCTTACAGTGTCTAAAACATGTCAAAAAGCCTCTAACATTCTAAAGGTGCACTGTGTAACTTTTCTGGTAGACTGTGTACCACCTGCTTGTCTCTATAAAGATGTGATTTCTTTGAATAGCACATTATGTTCATTATGGGTATCTTTTGTGCAACAAAACAAAACATGCATTTTTATGGAGTGGGCTTGCCTCTCCATTGTCTCCATTGATCTGACCTGTAACTGTAACTGTAACTTGACAGAATAAAAAATAAATAAAAGTTCACAGCCTTTCTTCCTGCATCTACAAAGGGATGCCAGGGTTAAAACCCTTTCACAACTGGAGCACAATATTGACCAATTGGTATGGTGTTTTTGACCGATACCAATATTACTTGATAACATGAATATCAGCCGATACTGGACCAAAATGTTGGTGTGTCACTGTTTATGCCATACTACGGGACAACAAAGAAATAAATTACATGGAAGCAATTATATGGTGGACCCTCCTCTAGAAAAGTTACCTCTCTATAGTCCAAACCTTAACTTGAATAGGTGTTCAGACTGAGTACAGAGCGCTGGTCACTGTTGTTGTTCTTTGTGTGCAGTGTTGGGGATGCCATGTGCACCATCTCTGCAGCCTCTTGTTTCCCCGAGCCCTTTATCAATGAAGGGAAGCGTCTTGGATTCGTTCACAGGAACTTTGCAGGCAGCCGCTTCTCGGACCATGTGGCCCTGCTCTCAGTGTTTCAGGCGTGGGATGAAGTCAGGTGAGATGCTGGATCTTTAATACGGACTGTCCAGTTATAATGTTCTGTATCATCTGGCACAGGATCAACGGTGAGGAGGCAGAGGGTCGTTTCTGCGATCACAAACGTCTGAACATGCCCACTCTGAGGATGACCTGGGAGGCTAAAGTTCAGCTCAAGGAGATCCTGATAAATGCTGGATTTCCTGAAGGTACAACACTCCCTGTCAACTGGTCCCAGGACTGAACCAGGAGGACTAAAACAGGACTAAAACAGGACTAAAACAGGACTGAGTGTTGGGATGGGCCCGAAGGTGCGCCCGCCCACAGACTGTCAGGTAACCGCAGGCGAAAGGACCGGCGCAGAGCTCCGCACCCCACAGGGATATGAGCAGCTGTCACCCGGTCGCGCTTTGCGGACAGCCTTCTCCGCCGGCTCAGTCTTCTCCCTCTCTCTCAAATCTAAGATTAGCCCTGGTTTAGTCCTGGTTTAGACCTGGTTTAGACCTGGTTTAGTCCTGGTTTAGTCCTGGTTTAGCCCTGGTTTAGTCCTGGTTTAGTCCTGGTTTAGTCCTGGTTTATTCCTGATGTTCAGTAATGTTAAGTCACCTCAATTAGGCCTGCATGAAGTTGGAAATTATTTGCTGTTGCAAAAATCGTTTATGAATGCTTTTTTTAAAAATATGAAAATACAATATTAATATTAATAATAAAATCTGGAAGATGAATCCAACATGGCACAGTATTGTTTTCAATGACCCCTGCTCTTTACGGCAAAAATAGTTTTACTTCTTTCCTGAATGCTGGTCTTATGTTGTGTGTGACGTCAGAAACGTACAGCTCTAACCAATCAGAGCACTAGCTGCTAGAGCCGAGCTTGCGTGGGTTCAGGCAGGGCTTAGCTAAATCTTACAAAGTTGACTTTTAGGTACTTTGAAAAGTGTTTGTAAAAATACAGAAGAATCCCTACAAAATCTGGACTTTATGATGGCTGTCAATGTCCGGTCAGCTGAACATGGGCAGTTTGATTGAACAAACAATGCTTTGTGCTCTATGGAACACTTCTTTCTGGCCAGAGCTCCTGGGAGCTGCAGTACTTATAGAGCAGACACTAATCGATCTCGCTCACAGACAGAGGAGAGGGTCTTATCCAATTCTTATTAGATCCATGGTCATTACATTTGGTCCTCAGTGCATTACCTTTTGTTTTGAACTGATTCATGAGTAACAATGGAGATAGTTAGAGTCTTGTATGTTTAAACAAACATGTAACTAACGGTTAAATACACTTAATTACTTCTACAAAAGTGAATTTTATGACCTGTACTTCAACATAAGATAAAAATCTGTAGGCCTTGCTATAAAAACATATCGGTATCAGCCACAGTAGTAGGCTAAATATCTGCTATTGGTATCATCTCTGAAGCTGGTGCCTCTATTGATCAAGCTGAAAATTGGCAGGGTGGTTGGCCTTGACAGTGCTGTGTGTGATATGCAGATTCAATCAATTGTAATGTGTGAAGTTTACGAAGAGGTCAGTTTCCTCTTCGAGGACATATAAAGATAAAGTGTCTAAATCATGATTGGCTCCAAGAAAATTGTAATATACATTTTTGCCATATTGCCCACCCCAATCATGTATCATGTTATGGTCTGTGTGAGTGTACTCTGCTAGTGTTTCTGTTTTACGCTGCCTCTTGGCCAGGTCGTCATTGCAGTTGAGAAGGTGTTCTCAATTGACTTACCTTGTAAAATATTGAGTAAATAAAATAAATAAAAATCATATTGTGATCATTGGTTTAAAGTTACAATATGGGTAAATCAAAGTGAAGGTTAGGCAACAGTTAAGATCAGTCTTCAGGAAAGTAGGGCTGTAACAATTCATTGGAGTAATTGTGACTAATTGACTATTACAATAATTGTATCTCGTAAGAAATGTATTTGTAAAAATGTCAGTGTACAATCACCATCAACCATGTTGTGCTTGATCCTAATCCACTGTACGTGTTGTTTCAGAGTGCCTTTTGACACAGTCCTTCAACACAGTGGGCCCAGACAACAGCCTGGATGTGGTCATTTCTCTGATCACATTTGGCTCTTATCCCAATGTGTGCTATCACAAAGAGAAGCGCAAGATCCTCACCACAGAGGGCCGCAACGCTCTCATTCACAAAACCTCAGTCAACTGCCCCTTTAGCAACCATGACCTGAGCTACCCCTCACCCTTCTTTGTGTTCAGTGAGAAGGTACTAAGCACACAGTCTTCTTTTTAAACAAGACTTACTATGCTTTTTTCTGGTGTTTATCATATATATGACTCATACAAATAATTTATATTAGGGCCCAACCATAGACTGTATAAAGAAGTGAACTAAGTGAGTCTGAAGTCACCCATAGCGTTCAGCTCCACTCAAATGAAGCTCAGTTACAGGGGCCAATTTGGAGCCAGGCTCTACGTTATATTACTATATTATATATTATTATGAATAGGACTTTTTTATGGATAAAATAGTGAAATACAACCCCAGGCTGATGTAGAGCAGGCTAATATGAACATTGTGGGATGACGAGAAAAATGACGAGGCTCACAGCAGCAGGTACAGAGAGAGCAGCCATAATATTCCAGTGTAAGTCAGCTTCCTGTTTGGAACGTGCCGGCGTTGGCCATGTTCAGTTTCTATATACAGTCTATGGGCCTGATGATATATTGTTTGGTTATTGATTGATATTGGCCAAAATTTGACTGTTTATTTATGTACAGCCCAAAATCACAACAGCAGTCTCCACACTCAAAATACAACTTTGAGTTAATGAAGATAGATTTTGCATATACCACCTTTAAAACAAATTTCTTCTTCTAATTTTGTGCAGAAGCTCTTATTGAAATAACCTTTTTGTTTTTCTTTCTTTCCATCAGATTCGGACTCGAGCCATTTCAGCTAAAGGCATGACTCTGGTCAGCCCTCTGCAGCTGCTGCTGTTTGGATGTAAAAAGATTACTTCTAACGGAGAAACTGTGGAGCTAGATGAGTGGTGAGCCACGCTCTTAGCACTCAAAGAACAGTCACATGTTTCACACTTACTTCAGCTGTTTAGTTTCTTTTTAAAGACAATGTATCACAACAGTCCCATCTACCTCTCCAAGCTTTTGGAAGGCAATACCCCATACTTTTTCTCCATAAACTTCCATTTATCCATTTTCCTTTGCTTTATCCAGGGCTGAGTTACAGAGGCAGCTTTCTGTGTAGGGAGCAAGGGTGGGAAGCCTGGTCCTCCCTTCCCTCCCATCCTCCTAGGAGGACGTGGAATGTCACCCCACAGATTTTGTTTAAAAAAAAAAGGCAGACAGAAGCTAACATCTATGTAACAACTTAAAAATAACTTGGCACTTTATAAAGTTTCAGAAAAAGTATTTATACTTGTGGTTGTTACCACATTGCTGATCAGAACCCAAGAAGCTTTCAGACTTGTTTTTTAAAGGAAATTATGAATGTGAAATTTGGTTCCAGAACCATGGTCATGAGCTCTGGATAATGACCGAAAGGACAAGATCGCGGATACAAGCGTTCGAAATGAGTTTCCTTCGCAGGGTGTCTGGGCGCTCTCTTAGAGATAGGGTGAGGAGCTCAGTCACACGGGAGGAGCTCTGCTTAGACTGCTGCCCCCCTCGACCCGGCCTTGGATAAGCAGAAGAAAATGGATGGATGGAATTTGGTTCCACA